TCATTTACAAACATCAAACATCAACAAACAAGAGTAGAGGCAAACAACAACAAACAGCCACTAAAACAACAGGCGACTACACCAACATTCAACAAACCGTGTCGCCTCTTCTATGTCACCAATAACATTTCGAAGACAAAGTTTTTGGTCGACACGGGAGCCCAGGTAAGCATTATACCTTCACGACAACACCTTCATCGACCCAAATTCAACTACAAGCTGCAAGCTGCAAAAGGCCGCACCATCGACACATTTGGACAACAACTCGTAACCATTGATCTTGGTCTACGACGTAAGTTCCAATGGATTTTCATCATTGCCGACCTCACACGAGCAATATTGGGCGCCGACTTTTTGTCACACTTCTATATTACGGTCGATATGAAAAGACACAAAATTTTCGACAACGTCACTAGGCTACAAGTACAAGGGGTTGTCGAACACTCCAATATCATCTCGAACGTCAAACCGTACCTGGTGTCAGTCAACAACATTGGTAAAATCATTGACAGATTTCCCAAACTAACTATACCTGTCAACAACAACAAAAATAAAAACAAGATACAACACCACATCGTGACTTCTGGACCACCACATTATACGGCCCCACGACGATTGCATCCCAGAGAAGTTGCGAGCTGTTAAAGCCGAGTTCGAACACATGTTTCAACTCGAAATCATCAGACCGTCAAACAGCCCGTGGGCATCACAACTTCATATGGTGGCAAAGTCATCAGGAGATTGGAGACCCTGCGGAGACAACAACAACCAAGTCATCCATTCTCTACTACCACCAATCAAAACTACAACACACAACCTTCGTCAGCGCAAACATAAATATCAAGTCGTCCAATCTACATACCAGGAAAATACCTTCATCACAAGACACCTCAAACATATTAGCACTTAAGAAAACTTCATCATTACTGAACTAGTTTTTACTTATTGATCACCTCACTTTTATCGATCACCTCACTAACTCACTAAGTTATCATTTTGTCTATTAATAAGTCATCAAATATATTAATACTCATTAAACTTTTTCACACACAGGCATAGCCTTTATTTATCGATCACCTCACTAACCCACTAAGTCATCATCTAGTCTATCAATTTGCCGTTACTTCATTTTATATTCCATCGTCAATTATTTTTCTTTTATTTGTCTTATTATTATTTTTTTTTTATTCTAACATATTTTATTTTTCATGTTTTCTCACTAATTTGTTTAATTTTGTTTCACTGCCTTACATGTTGTTACAGTTTCTGCGTCTGTCAGATCCTGATTTTTAAAGAATAATAATAAAAAAAAGACCACAATGCACTCAACAACATGACCACACCTGATCGATATCCAGTTCCACACATCTATGATATCGCTCACAGTCTGGAACAGGTGCGGTGGTTTACGAGGCTAGATCTCGTACGGGCTTACCACCAGATTCCGGTAGCAGAAGAAAATATTCAAAAAAGGCAGTGACAACATCGTTCGGTCTGTTTGAATTTTTGAAGATGCCATTTGGGCTAAGAATTGCCGCACAGACTTTCCAAAGGTTCATCGATAGTATTTTGAGAGGGCTACCTTTTGTCCAAGCACACATTGATGACATACTAATAACCAGTAAAACCTTCGAAAAACACAGCAGCCATGTAGAACAAGTCATTCAACGACTACACGACAACGGACTAACCATCAATCCATCGAAATGTTAATGAGCGAAATCATCCACAACATTTCTGGGACATAAACTCGACAGTGAAGGCATTAGACCCCTCGACATAAACGTACAGGCAATCATCAATTTTGCGGAACCAACGACTAACAAGCAACTACGCCGATTCATCGAAATGATCAATTTCTACCGTCGATTCATTCCTAAATGCCCAACGATATTGTCACCTTTCACTGACATTTTAACCGGCAAATCAAAAACATTAAAACTCAACGAGGTTCAACAACAAAGTTTTAGAGAAGTCAAACAGGCATTACAAGCGGCAACCAATTTATGGTATGTTCAAGAGAAAAGTATCTTTCAACTTTTTATTAACGCTTCAGACGTTGCTGCCGGAGCGGTACTAGAACAGAAAAATCACTGGATTGCAAGACTCATTGCTTTCTTTTCACAAAAATTTAATCCAACACAGACCTGCTACAGCACAGAGTCTGCTGACAGTGTATTCAGCTATCCGCCATTTTCAACATTTACTCGATGGTCGAGAGTTTACAATATTCAATGATTGTAAACCATTGACTTTCGCCTTACATTTAAATTCAAATCGTCTATTACCAAGAGAAACCAGACACCTTGATTACATCTCACAGTTCACAACAGACATTCGACACGTGAAAGGAGAAAACAACATCTTGGCTGATGCATTATCACGTACAGAGGTAGCCGCAATAACGTCAAAAGCAATAAACCTTGATGAGATGTCGAAAAAACAGGATAATGATACAACACTCCTTGACAACACAAGCTAATTAAAAATCAGCATAATTCCAGTCAAAAACTCAAAAAACACTATCATCGTCGACACCTCATTAGGCACCCCGCGTCCTCTAGTTCCAACAAGCATGCAAAAAATCAGTTTTTTTAAATTTCCACTCCTTGCCACATCCAGGAGCAAAAGCAGCATCAAAGTTAATTGGAACCAGGTACGTTTGGCCCCACATTGATAAAGACATCCAAAACTGGTGCAAAGAATGTCTTCAATGTCAACGCAGCAAAGTACATCGACATACAGCTTCACTTCCAGCAGAATTTCCTCCACCAAGCAGCAGGTTTCAACATGTCCACATCGATTTAGTCGGACCAATGCCATAATCAGATGGACACACACATTTTAAAGTGTGTCGATTGATTCACCAGATGGCCAGTAGCAATTCCCATTAAAAATACTTTAACGGAAACAATAGTAGATAAATTATTTACACACTGGATTTCGTTGTATGGCGTCCCAGAAACCATTACAACAGATAGAGGCAGCCAGTTCACATTTTTCGGTTTCAAGAGATTCATCTAGTTACTGAACATTAAACATATTCACACCACCGCCTATCACCCAGCAGCCAACGGTATGGTGGAACGATTGCACAGACAACTTAAGGTCTCATTTATGGCTCACGGTTCAGACAAATAGACAGATGTATTACCAGTGACACTGTTAGGCATTCGTGCAACGGAAAAGGAAGACCTAAAGTTGTCACCAGCAGAACTCGTTTACAGCACAACACTCCTCCTTCTCGGAGCTTTTCCAAACCCACGGCCAGACACAACCGTACAGTCATATGCATCAAAACTCAATTGCTGGGCGGAGGCTCTAAAAGCAACACAACCAAGAACAAATACAAACGTGAGTTACATTCCAAAAGACCTCTTACTACAAAACAGGTTTTTGTTCGTACGGACTCTCACCGCTCACCACTACAACTTCTCTACGATGGACCCTACACAGTGGTGGAAAGAGACCCAAAATACTTTGTCCTTGACAAAAGGGGCATAGAGACACGGTGGCCATAGACCACTTCAAACCCGCATACACACCGGCATCATCCACATCCATACCGTCACCTGTGCCAACGACCACAGCGCCGTCGTCACCTTCTACAACACTTTCAGCAAAACCAACTCCGTCGTCAAATGACACATCAGCATCAACAAAAGCGTCAACACTATCTCCAACAGTATCCGAGGACACGCCAGCAACAGAAACATCTACGCCGACTTAAGCACACTCAAATCGACCTATCGACACCAATATTCCAACATTCTAGAAAACCATAAGATCGGGAAGAACAGTTCACCTCCCATTTTGATATCTTGATAAGTATCGATCAACAGCTTACGCTTCTGGTGGGGAGTATTGTTGAACCGCACATCCCTAATTTGAGCATGTGACGACTTGCTATTTACAGCTTAGGAACAAATGCAACAGCCCTTCTTTGCGAGACGTTTTACAATCAAACTTCACTTTGTCTAATCATAAAGCCGAACACGTTTTCGTTTGTTTTTGTATTACACAAATAAAATACATTATAAATATTCTTACTTTGTTGTTTCTTATATCGAAAAGAAACATGCAACAACCTCAAAGCATTAACCCATTCATTACAATGTTCAGGCAACAATTTTTTTCTATATTTTCTTTCTTTTTTTCGGCACTCTGTTTTTGCTATATAACACGCCCGGTCAAACAAAGGGGAGTGGGATCACATCTAAATTTAACATAATGAAGTGGGTTATATCAACTATTTTTTTTCAATTCATCATTAAAGACATTAAATTCGTAATCTATATTTTTACTTTGGCATGATTTCGAATTTTAGATAGAGCAGATTTTGCTACAAGCGTTGAAAAGTCGTCTTCGTTTATATGCCTCCATGATCTGGCTAGTTTAGTTTTTGTCTTGTAACGAACCTGTTTTATTGGTATTTGAACTTGAATCAAACTGTGATCCGAGTAAATGCCGCTGGAAAAATTTTTAACTTATGCAATTGGAAAATTTTGTGAAGTGACAATTAGGTCAAGGGTAAACTCTTAGCCCTCCATGCTTATGTTGTTTACATAGAATAATATTGAAGACTTTTAAATTTGACTGCGCCCTTCATTAATATTCATGACCAACCAAAGTGCATTATTTTTTCAATTTGTGAATTTTTTAACCGAAGCGCTTCATTTTTTTCTATTTGTAAATTTTAATGATATTCTTATATCATTATTTTTTATTTTTAAAAAATGTTATAATTTTTTAAATTTGTAATTTTATTTGCACATTATATTTTTATAGAAAAAAGAAAACAGAAGTATCTAATATCTTTGATTAATAGTGTTGCTAGAAGTTCTTACTTTCATCAACGTAGAATAAAAAGCTTCGGCCTTTTCTTGATGATTTTACTCTTCTCCTTCTTGTTACTTCGTTAGTCTTATCTAGGATTGACTATTGTAACTTGCTCTACTATGGTCTTCCTGATTCTATACTCTATCCTTTAAGCAAAGCATTTAACTGTGCTGCTCGTCTAGTTGCCCGTGCCCCTTTCTCTTTTCATATATCTCCATATCTTGTTCTCCTGCACTTCCTTTCTATAAAAGATAGAATAATTTTTAAAATTTGCACATTTATATATAAGTCTCAATCTAAATTATTTCCTAAGTACTTATCAGATATATTTATTGAATCTAAACGTCCCGGTTTATGATCGTCTTCTTGTTCTCGCTTCTTTTTAACTCATGATAAACACTCCTTTGCTAAATCTGTTTTTGCTTTTTCTGGCCCTTTTCTCTGCAACTCTCTACCTACTTCTCTGACTACTTCTTCATCACTTACGAAGTTCAGAGCGGATCTCAAAACCCATTAGTTTTCTAAATTTATTGAGGAGCGCTGTTGAACATCGCGGAAATAGCGATTTACAAGCTAATTGATTGATTGATTGATTGATTGATTGATTGATTGATTGATTGATTGATTGATTGATTGATTGATTGATTGATTGATTGATTGATTGATTGATTGATTGATTGATTGATTGATTGATTGATTGATTGATTGATTGATTGATTGATTGATTGATTGATTGATTGATTGATTGATTGATTGATTGATTGATTGATTGATTGATTGATTGATTGATTGATTGATTGATTGATTGATTGATTGATTGATTGATTGATTGATTGATTGATTGATTGATTGATTGATTGATTGATTGATTGATTGATTGATTGATTGATTGATTGATTGATTGATTGATAATAATATTCAATAGTTAATAAAAAAAAATTTAAAAAAGATTTCAAAAATTTAAACCGCGTAATAATGTCGTATAACTTCAAGGGCTTTTTGGAACCGCTCTTTTCTATCTCCTATGCACATACCATTCAATTCATTCTTTTAAATTTTTGTTTGGCGCATTGCCACAAATTCTCTACTCTATTTCTGTGCACTCCGTTTACGGCCCGAAATGTAATGGAGTGATTTACGGTTTGGTGGTTATCCGGTTATAAGCAGCCCATTGATCCGTCCAAACTGTTTTACCTTAAATTATTGAAATCAAACCATATTTCATAACCAACCAAAATGAATTTTAAAACATTAAACTTTATGAAACCAACAGGGCAGAACATGTTGCTATATCAATGGTAACAAACGTGGCAGCATCTCGTCTATCTACTTCCACCAGAAAGGCATCCTTTGTTTGTGTATCGATGTCTCCCAAAAACCCAGCGTGCCCAAACTGGACGTGCATTCTGGTTCTTCAATCTTTTTGCAGGTGAGATGCAGCTTTCATCTATTTGAACAATGTGTCCGGGCCACCTATTCGTGCAGTGCAATTCAGAGCCCAGTCCATACATAAATCCCGATGTAAATTGAACCTGTCAGGCAATGTGTTCCCGACATTCAATGCCGCAACTGAAAAGTATGTAAACCTTATGTCTGCAAGACAGCGGCATGTCATCGGGGCTGCTATCAAACCGTGCTGTTTTGCCCACCTCACAGCATTTTCTGTGTTTAATATAAAAACTATCAGTTCAACCATTTTCATTTCTTCAACTGAGGGGTAAACAGCCATTTTTAACTTATATAATTAATACATTTTTCTCAATGAAAAATATAACTAAATGCAATTGAAGAATGGAAGAGAAAATAGCAAAAAAAAAAAGGATAGAATAATTTCGTTTTTATATTAAAGCTCTTCCATGTAAAAGATTGCACAGCTCAGCTATTACATTTAAATTTGATCCATATTTTATTTATATTTTATCTATATTTTAATATATTATCTTATTTTATTTGGCATCAAAATTATTAATAAACATTTTTAAATATAATTTTTTAAATTATTTGTTTAATGATTTATTACAATAAAATGAAGCGCTTCGGTTGGTCGTGAATATTAGTGAAGGGCGGAGTTAAATTTAAAGTTTTCAATATTTTTCGATGTAAACAACATAAGCGTGGAGTGCTAGGAGTTTACCTAGGTCAAGTATACTACCAAGAATATGAGTTGACTTTTTTACATGGTTAGTCAATTGGAACATTTCATAAATTTCACACAGACGAATAGTTTCCTGATCATAAACATGGACATTAAAATCACCCACAAACAATATATTTAAACTTAAAACATAGATATTTTCTAACATATTTCTAAGTTTTTTAAAAAATAAAGCGTTAACCAATACAGAACCAGGCCTATACACCGCCAACAAAACGAAATCATTATTATTTATTGTAAGTTTGAGTGCAACAGCTTTAAATGAAGATAATAAAAGCAAACTTATTTTTTTTGAACTTAAATTGGGACCCAAAAAATACAATCACATCACCCTGTAAGTAAAGGATCATGCATTCTTAAACAATCGATATAATTATAGCCAGACGGCATTGACAATTTAATTGAAATATTATCAGACGACCTATGCCAGGTTTCAACTAAAACAAAAATTTCCTACCCATCCAAGATTAATTCATGAACTGTATCAAATTTAGAAACAATTGACCTATTATTTAATAATCCAACTGAAATTTTCAACTCTACTTTATCGTTTAACTTATTTAAGTCAACCTCGTTCAAATTTTTACTTTGACAATTTATTAGGTTTTCTTTTCCGGAAGAAATTTTATTATCTTCCACCTTCCTACTGGACCCACGATTCTGAACAAAAAACCCTCATAATATAATATATATATATATATACCAGCATATATATATATATATATATATATATATATATATACAATATTCTATAAATTCTACCGAATGTTTGGCGTTAATATGTTTGTAGTTTGTTTTTTCAATTTTTCTCACTAAAGTTTTTTGGTGAACGTTTAG